GTGCCGGTGAGCTGCGCGCCGGTCACGGGCTGGCGGAACACGAGCTTTCCGAGGACGAGGAGGAGCGAGTGGCAGTTGTTGAAGATGTACGCGTGGCTCACGGACGTCATGTCGAGCGCACAGATGAACGTGCCGAGAAAGATGACGTAGCCAATACCAGCAAACGCCATCGAGACCACGTCGATGGTCGTCGGCAGCTATACATGGCAGGCAGGTGACGACATGGATCATAGAAACTAGGTTGGTAGAGTACTACCTTGAAGGAGCATCCGCGGGCGTAGGCGAAGAGGCCCATGAAGAACGCAGTCGCGGTCATACGCCAGAAGAGCTTGAGGAGCGGCGTGACGCCGGTCTGGAGGTCGAGCGCGATGCCGACGGACGAGACAGTGATGAGGCTGGCAGCGAGGATGAATGTGCCCAGCCACGCCTGCAACGGCGACGTGTGGATCTCGGTGACGGTCGCCGACGCGTAGAGCGCGGTCGTGAGCGTGGCCGGGTCTTCCTCGAACGCGTTGGAGCGTGAGATGGACCGCAGGACGCGCGAGGTCTCTTCAAAGACGTTCGACTTGGAGAGCGATCGGAGCAGGCCCGAGGACTCGGTGGGCGTGTGTGGTGTCGTCATGGTGCTGGCGCTTGAGGCTGGTGCTGGCGGTGGCGGGGACAGAGGCCAAGTGACCGACGAGAGCCAAAGATTGGAATCGTTGTGACACGCAAGTCCGAATTGAAACAAAAAGGCCGAATTGACGCCTGAAAATAGGGCAAAGCTGGATTAAAGTATGTTCGCCTGCGAGCGTTCGCCGTGGCTATGCAACGTAACGGCACCGACACCAACCACGCGACGTTGAAGCAGCGACAGGTGGCCCGACCCTTGACGACCAAATGCCAGCTCCAGGACATTTTGGCTCCACGATCGCTTATTCAGCTGCGTTTGTATACGTAGAGCGTCTACTTGTACTTGAGGCTTCCTACGCGTCGAATTTGGCATCCTTGGAGTCGACCCTGCCTGGTGCTCTGTCGTCGAGGCGGAATAGCTGGGTACGACGACAAGCCTACCAGCCACCTATGAGCACCCATTTGAAGTCGGGTCTGGTCGGTGCCACGTCTCCAGTGCGCGCCCGTTGCGCTCGCCACAAGAGAATTTGCGGCAGGCTTGGACGCTTGGAAGTTTGGATGCGACCAAGCTGGCGAGACTGGATTGCGCAACATCACTTGATTTTGCAGCGACCGGAGAAGGATCGGACAGTGGATTTATGGCGCGAGGATGTGTTTTTGGTGCATGGACCATGCACGCAGAGGCCCCCATAGAGAGCATCGCAGGACGCTCGCCAACTTGTTGATAGACACCAGTGTCCACACGGCAGGAAATTCAATTGGTCCACACGCATGATACACCCGCTGTCTGGCTGCGTCGACCAGACAGATGGTTGACATTGAGAGCGTACTAATAATAGTTGAGGTCGACGACACGAGGGTCGACGATTCCATATTTTTATTCGAATGCGGAGAATCATTTTTCTTTTGCCTCGACAATCATCACCCATCAATGATGCATGACCTCTCGGAACTGTGTTGGAACTTTTAGAACCACGAAATGCAGTCGAATGGAGGAGATTCATCGCACGCTAGCAGCGCTCTTCGAGCTTCGGTTGAAACACAACATCTCAAAATGGTGTTAAGGGACAGGGAGTCAATCAGGATGGGCGGTACCCGCCAGGAATCGAACCAAAATCTACCTGGTGGCCATCCGTGGCTGCACCGCTCGAATAAACGCTTTCTTCCATCCCATATTAGTGACCGGTCCGATTTGGGGCTCCAATGATCAAAAGAGGGTATCGGTGCAGGTATCGGTGCAGGAAACGAAAAGCAGCGTAGCGGCGCTTTCCCTGAAATTGATTGGGCACCAACCAACACATCTGGCACATCCAAAAGACATCTGCAAAACTGCCACGTCGCCACGAAAACGGACAATTGACAGGATGCGCTCCCACCCTGGTGCCCACCACTATGGATTCCCGCCACATGAAGACTCCAACGGAGTACAAGATAGCACCTTGGTTGAGAATCGAGCGATCAGGTTCTTGCTGTGGCACAGAGAATCGCTAGAATTCACCTTCAACCACAGCTAGTCTATCTTGCGTCATGATCCTCGCGGGTCTCGATGGGAGGGATTTGCCAGGAGCCATGTTAACTTATCAAAGACTTTTAATGTGGCGACATGTGTAAAGATCGTTGGTTCCGCGCTCAACTGGGGTACCGCAATCAACCACGAGGGTGGCTCAAGATGGTTGACAGGGAAACTACCTATAAGATGGATCAGTGCTGAGTTTATAAGAGGGATCAGCGCTGAATTTGTTCGTTCGTGGCCCCCAAATGGCATGTAGGGTTAGGTATCAGTAGACGCCTGCATAAACCGTTGATGGCATCAACATGGTGGCTCGAATTAGTACAATTGTGCCGTCGTCATGCAACCAACGCTCAACGATCAGTCACCGACGTCGCTGCCATATCATTCCATAACCGCAACGCCCCACCGCCGCCGTCAGTCGCGCATCGATTCGAGTCCAAAGTCCAACACCAGCTCGACGAGTCCACTCCACTAGTCAGCGCTACCACGCTCCGTCTTAATGAGTGCAAATCGTGCTACTAGTATTTAAATAGACTCTCTTAAACAACGAGCAGTCGTTGCAGTGTCCCAGGACACACTCGCTGTACAAAAGCGGACCCTATCCTCGTCTGTTTGGTGGCAAACAGTTCTGGTATCACTAAAGGATTGACCCTCAACGCCAGAGCAAGAATGGCCTGAAACCTAGATGTCTAAGCAAAATGCCGACGCCTTGTCCTCTGGCTTGAGTACCGGTACCCACGAGCAGGTGTTCACAGTAGAGCCATGGCCCTATTCAACCCACTCTCCAACTGAGGATTCGTAGTACACTGTAGGTGGTGCCGTACGTCAGCATTTTGTGGGCTGGACGTAAGTTTTTTGCGGTGTGCTACCAGTTGCCTCACTGTGGTGAGCGTCGTCAAAGTGCGGGATAAGAAAACGCAACCAAAAGAACCTGTTGAGTAGATCAATGAAGCGATGTGTGAAGATGCCAGCGCTGATTGGACGACTACGAGGAAGCCAACCTTTGGCGATGAGGTTCCACGACTTGTGTCCAGTATCAGGACTATTAGTAGAGATGTCAGATGGTGCTTTCTATTCGCCTATCCAAGTACCTCGCCACCTGGGTACGCGCATGTCGCTAGTGCGATTTGGCGACGCGCATACTCTCTAAGCGAATACGGAGGCGAAGAGTAGGTTTAGGCTCAAGAATCGTGTTGCATCTACTAATCGCGGGCGAGAAATAACGTGACAGGGTGGCATGTTGATCGGCTGCTAAAGGCGCGCTTCGATAGCGCTCAGTGTTTGATTGTCAGCGACCATGGCCCTTCTCGTCTCGGCACACCAGCGTGACGACGCTCTGCACCCGGCGCCGACGTGCACGGAGCCCGAGTGTCATCACTGCACCAAGAAGCCCAAGCTCGACGCGTCCCCGGGCAAAGGTGCCTCCACGACGAGCAAGCCGAGTTGGACAAACACGACGCGAATGCCTCCACGCCCGTCAAGTCCCGTCCTCAGAGACAGCACCGTGTCTCTCGGGAGGTTTTGGACCGACGACATTCCGCAGGCGACAATCGAGAGCGTCGAGAACGAGATTCGAAGCTGGCGCAACGCCATCTTACGGGGCGAGACACCCGACTTGTACGAAACCTGTGATCGATGGGAGATCATCGATGACGGCGAAGGCGACAGTAGTAGCCGTGACCCAACCTTTCATGATTGCGTCGAGTTCCTCTTGGAGGCGATGCTGAGCCCGAACACAGCGCCAAACGCCGTTGCTAGCTAGCGGTCTACAGAATGGCCACTTTTCATCATTTATGTAACCGAGTCATCGTGCCAAAATTTCATGCATGTCGTGTGCCAACTTGTTGTTGTTGAAGTGAGTCTACTTGGATATAATTTACACTGAACTGTATGTGGTGGTGGACTAGCGATTCCAAGGTGCTACGACGAGCCGGCGGCCGAGAGGTTTAGCCGAGCGGAAGACGTGGCGTGTGAACGGCACATGTCGGAACGAAGTTGTTGCGTAGCCATGCGTCGTGGCGCAGGGCTGCCATCATTTGGAAGAGCACAATGCTCGAGTGTTCAGCAGCAAGTGTTGGAGGTGCAGCTTGGTCAAGGACGCGGCTCGATGATGGGTGGAGTGTGCCAACTTGTTACAGAAGTGCACTCCTGTATGCGTTTGACTGGTCCATTTGATATTTGGACTCGTGAGTGTTTGCTGCTGTTGAAGAGTGAGCCCTGCAGAAGTGCATGGACGAGGGCTGCACACTATAAGATCTTGGCTAAAGCGGACCAACCCACGCCCTCTTTATAGTACAAGAGCACGACTTTTGAGTGATTGACCAGTACTATTATGAACATCGTTTTTCAATGTGGTACATACATGCCACGCAACTCTGTCGAGGCAGGCAAACAGAGAAGATGATGCCATCGCTGCAACCAAGGGTGCGAAAAGACTTGTCCGGATATCAGGGTCCGATTTGCACTCTCCTTAGATGATGCGAGCTCGTTTGTTGATCGAGGCTTTCGTACATTGCACGTCGTCAAGGGACGAGGCGGCGTGTACCTCGTTGCCATTCTTGCATCGATTGCCTTCGGCCGGGTTCTTGCTTGTAAGGATGTGGCGCCAAGATTCTCGGTATGGAATGTCGCTGCGTGCTAAGCAACAACCGCGTCTTGATTCGCGATTGGACCAGAGGAGACTGTACTTGCAGCTAATAACACCCACCATCCGTCGGCGAAGGGACCGCACAACATGCCCCTCGAATCACAATCACCCCGCAGTCTCGTTTTGCAATTTCAACTGCCAATCACATGCGTTCTCACAAGTAGATTGATGGTCTCAATGTACGATGCCGGTCTATAGACCATCATTCCGCATTTTGCACCTTGGATGCACGACGGGCATTATTCAATCTCCCATCTCCATACCAACATCATCATCATCATGTCGTCGACCGTATGCTGCTTTAACGGCTGCTTCAACGCGCCGCTCGCGCCGTCGGACAAGTGCGTCTTTCACCGCAACCGCGCCCAGTGCCTTGTTGACGGCTGCGTCAACCAAGTCTATGCGCGGCACCTTTGTGTTCGTCACGGCGGCAAAAAGACGTGCGCGTTTCCCGAGTGCACGTCACATGCGCGTATCGGCAACTACTGCGTGCGCCACAGCAAAGACGCGTCCAAGCAGCTGTGCTCTGAAGACGGCTGCACCAAGACAGCGCATCGCCGCCAAAAGTGTGTTCGTCACGGCGGTGGTCGGCCCTGCCAAGTGGAGGGCTGCACGACGCACGCGCGGACAGGCGGCTTGTGCTGGCGCCACCGTAACCTTGTGCTTCCGACGGCCGACACGGGGTGTATGCTGGAGGGCCACGAATTTCTCGCTATTTTGGACGAATGGATGGCGGCCGAAGAGCACGATGGAATGGACGACCAGGTCCTTCTCAATGACCTTCAAGCACTGCCCATGGATGACTTCAGCTGTCTCCTCTCGTAAATCCTTCTCGTCGTATTTAATTCTAATTTTGTTTGCCTTTTTTCTGGCCATGTCGACGAACGTGTGGTCGTCATCGGGCACACACCGCCGATGACGTTCAGGTGATTGAGCGTTCCCTAGTCACATAATATGATCAAGAAGACGGTGGGCAACAAATATACACACGCATGTCAGCTATGTATTAATACAAATTGTAGCGAACTGCGTCGCACCGTACGGATAATACATCATTATCCGGTCCATACCATCGGTCTCTCGTGGTAAGGACTTCTACCGGTACCATAAACAGGGCTCAATGTGCACCAATTTATGCGTACTAGGATGTATTATTTGACTGCTGCGTATGAATGAGCCTGCCGTGAAGGATGTGATAGCTAGGCCGATCGGACACTACTTTTGTATTCAATCGACCTTGTTTTCTCAACGTACTTTTGTATTCAATCGACCTTGTTTTCTCAACGTACTCAGTACACCACGACTGCCACGAACAATAAGCGAGGTATGTCCGACGTAAACGTTGCACCGACGCCTTTCGAGTCGACCACTGTAGGAAAGGCAGAATCGTGGACCACGTGGGGTATGCTTGATCCTCAGCGGCTTGAAACATGTACATACATCCAAATAGCTCTGGACGTTAGGCTCTATTCAATACTAGACAATCATCAACGTCGTGCCGAAAAGACGCTACATCGCTCATCATACACGAGCCCTCCACTCCTCCCAGAAAACGTCACGGGTACCGTACTCTTGACGGTATCTTTGGTCATCTAAACGGTATCCTTGCATCTGTCGAGCCTCTGGCGCATCAAATACAGAAAAAGGATGCGCAAGCAGGGATGATGATACAGCACTGTCGCGGCGATTTCCTGTCCACAGAAGCGCTGGCATATATCACATTCGCCGACCAAAAGGATACCTTGGATACCCTTTCCTGTCAAAACGCATATGCCATATTAAGTGACAGGGGCCATATGGTCCGCCCCACATGGCCTTTCTACTTTGCCACGGCACGGCCCGTTGAAAACTCTGTACTCGTTGGAGCTGACAAGCGGGTATAGTAACCTGTGCGCGTGCCGTCGCGCCTGATAAAGGCGCCCTCCATTGGCACCAGATCGAACAACCAACGATGCGCGGGATGTCCCAGGGGCGCGCCGTGTCGCAACCAGCAAAATTCACTCGGCTCGCTGACACGGAGCAAGTGCGCGATCGAACCCACCTTAACGTGCATACATGTCCACACATTCGGGCGTATCGCAGGTTCCATCTTCGAGCAGCAAGCACTTGGCCATTTTCCGTGGCGCGATCAAACACATACAATGCGGGCATGTGTGTTCAACGGCTGCACCAAGCCCGCGACCGAGGCGACCGGCAAGTGCGACTTTCATCGGGGCCGCACCAAGTGCATCATCGACGGCTGCGCCAACCAAGTCTACGCGCGGCAGCTGTGCATTCGACACGGCGGCAAGAAGCTCTGCATTGCGCCCGGCTGCGGCTCGAACGCGCGGTCCGGCGACTACTGCTGCCGCCACGGCGCCGACAACACCAAGCAGATTTGCACGCACGCCGGGTGCCACCGCGTGGCGCATCTCCGGCAAAAGTGTGTCCGACATGGCGGCGGGCGGCCGTGCCACGTAAACGGCTGCACGACGCACGCACGCGCCGCGGGGTACTGCTGGCGCCACCGCAAGCGTGCAAACGATGCGGTGCTGCCTCCTGCCGAGCCCGATGACCTCTGGATGGACGTGCTGCAAGAGCTCGCCCGTTCCGATGCCGACGACGAGATGCTAAGCGATTCGAGTAGCTTTTGTTGAAGGTATTGGATCCACTCCAAGTTCTCACGTCGTTCAACCTATCGGCATGCGCGGCGCCCAACCAACGCAATGGTATTCCCAATTTATCTTACGGCGGTACGATGCAGTACGATGGTGCCAGAGACACGACGACAGGTAACGTTTCGAATGCGCTCGGATACTTGGGAGTCGAAAGGCGTTCGCTGCTTTGTGGCATCGACGTCTGCGCGTTGACCCAATTCGAATGATCAAATTCGCCACCAAAAACTTTTTTTAAATGGTTTTGAGGCTGCGATTGGCCATGGCTCTTTTTTGCACCAATCATATAAAGTTGATGCTGGTTGACCCTGGGCAGCCCGAATCATGTCTTCTTTCGTTGATGGTACGGAGGGCGATGGTGCAGAGGGTCTACATCCACTTGCTTTGGTCCAGCCAGATCTTAAGAGGTTCGGACGAGCGGTTGTGTCGCACCAACCAAGCGAAACCTCTCGGGAATGTGTTTGGTGTCTTTGTCGAGGACCATGGCGCTGGCGTAGGCCCATCCAATGCACTATGCGACGCTACGCAAGCTCGATAAGCGGTGACCACCGTAAAAGCTATCGTTACTATCGACGACTCACAGGCCGACCTCGTGCACGCAAATCCCAAAGGAATCCAAAGAAAGTCACGTGGCAAAATCCACTTAAGCCGACAGGCACCCTCGCTTCAACGCGGCACAAAATGCCGCACACCAGGTTCGAGCTGCGCATCGACATTGGACAGATGGCTCGAGGTGATGTCGAGTTTGTGGCCACACAAAAGTACATCGATTCGTAAATTGATGTAATACTCTTGACCACACTGGGCGTTGCGCACATGGCGGCGTCAGGATGGACGAGAATGGTCCCTACATATCCAAGCGACAGTGGTTGGTGAGCTGCTGCAGTCGAGACATTCTAGCGAGGGGCGCGAGGAACAACGCGGCCGCCTAGGGCATCGTCCAGGCCATACACAGCGAATGATATTTATCCAGTATCTCTATTGCGCAAAAATATATGCTGATCTACTACGACTGCTGCGATTAGCACGCGTGCTTTTTGGGCACACGGCGAATGCAGTCCGAGTTGAGGTTGTGCAAGAGGTGGTCCGCGAACCGATCGGCGTTGGCCTGTGAGATGTCGGCCGCGTACGTGATGCTCGTGCCGGCCTCCGTGTCGATCTTGGTCCAGCCGTCGACCGTCTTGTTGATGGGCGTGTTGGCGACCACCGAGAGCTTCTCGGTCGCGAACGTCACAAGCGTCGGATCGACCATAATGCCGGCGGCGAGCGGGTCCCAAAAGTGGAACGTCTCGAAGAAGCGCGGGCCAAAGCAAATCGACTCGGTGACGTTCATGAGCTTGGCGACAAACTGCGCGTCCGCCGCCGTCGCGTTGTTGAGCGCGTTGAGGTACGCACGCTCGATCGGGTACTTGTCCGTGACGTCGAGACCCACGAGCTTCATGACCTTGGCGGCCGACGACGCAAAGACATCGCGCGCGGCCTGCGGGTCCAAGTAAATGTTGAACTCGGCGACCTTGTTTTCCTCGACACTCCAGAGGTTGCCGGGCGTGTTGACGGCGCCGCCCATAACAACGAGGTTGGAGATTTTCTCGAACGTCGCCTGGTCCTTCATGCGGAGGTGGTTGAGCGTCGTGAAGGTGCCCGTCGAGAGCACTTGGGTCGTGCCGGCGTTGAGGTGCTTCTGCAGCACCTTCCAGCCATCGTCGAGCGTGTGGGGCTGGTTCAAATACAAATCGCGCGGCGAAAAGAGGAACTGATCGCGCAAGTGCAAGACCGAGTCGACATCGTTGCGGCCGCAATCGATGGCCGGCGGCACCGAATCCTGGTAGACGTCGCCGTGTGTGGCCTCGTTGACCATGTTGTAGGTCGCACCTGCGCCGACCTCGACGCGGCCCGTGAGACCCGCAAACTCGATCGTGCGCATGACGCTCTCAATGCCTTCATCCAAGTGCGCCCAGCCGTCGCCGTCGACAATGACGGCCGTCACGTTGACTGTCGGCTCCTTGAAGAGGTACAGAAGCGCCACAATATCGTCCATGTCGGCGTCGATGATCGCGATTGTCGGTGTCGCGCCCGGCTGCGTGCACGTGTTGATCGTCTCGACGTCCTCATTCAAGATGTTGGTCGGCTGGTCAAACTTGCTGCTGCCGGCAACGATGCAGGCGGCGAGTGCGGCTACGGTGGCGAAAAGCTTCATTGTGTGTGTGAAGGACGAGGCAAAATGAAAAGTGAGTGAAAAGACCGAGATGGTAAAGCGACCACGACGATCCTGTTTGCGAATGTCCTCGATTGCTCTTCTAGAGATGTCCCAGGGCACACGGCCCGTGGAAATCGAGTGGGACAAGCCTCTTGGTAGCGATTGAACAATTGCACTGGATGGTATCACGGATGCGACTTGCTTTCATTATTGACAAAGATCTTTCTAGCACCGTGAGTCACGTCGACCACCTGGACGCAACCGTGCAAAAGGACAACCTCGTGTACGAACGGTGGTTGGCGGCCGGTATGTGCAGCAGATGTTGCGGATCGCGGTCCACTCTGGCTCGACACATGTAGACGGTGCCGCGGCCAGTTTGCACTTGCAGTCTGTTTTGATATGTTGGCATGTCTTTCGTGAGCGTGTTCTTGGTGTCTTCCGTCAAAACGATAATAAAGCCGTAAGCGTTCGCTAGAACAGTGGCCATGGAAAAATAGAAATCGACGAGACCTGGACGCTCTCTGTCCAAAATCCACACGGCCACAGGATTTCTGCACACCCACTGTTACGGTGCCACGGGATGTCGCGCAGTTCGAACGCTCACCGTCCATTGCCCACGCCATTGGATAAACTTGAATTAGCATCCCGAGATTTGGAATTCCCACCGAAGTGTTACGGGTGCAAGCGAAATCGAGTGAAATCCAGCGGCAAGTTTCCATGGACAATCGTTGCCTCGATCCATGGATAAGTGAATGGCTCGTAGATAGCACTCACGCTGTTCATACAAAAGAAATGCGATGATGACGCGTCGCACCTCGCGTCAGCCTCGGATAGCGTAACCATAGAGACAACACTGAAGAGTCCAAGGACAGCGTGGCCACTTGGCAAAAACCAAGCACATGTCCTCGGCGGAACCATCATCAGAATCTCGTCGACGGCGCTGCTAGGATCGTCGCATGGATCTACTAGCTGAGGCCAGAGATGAGGCGCTCATCCATACAAACAGTGGCCACGGACGGACATTGTGAAAGAGTGCAAGCGAGAGCTGTACAGTGTACTAGTACACGACAATGGATTCGAAAGCATTTCGTACCTCCGGTGCAGCCTCAGCTTCAACGTTTACCTTGATCACACCGCTACCGTTGCAAGGACATGCATGCGCCAAGCCAATTACGCGAGCTACGCACACGGGCGCTGTTTGTGCACAGACGAGGCGCCCTTGATGCCCGCTCATTTTCCCCTTGTTTCAAGCTCCAAGCGCTCTTCTTTCTTGTGATCAAGGGAAAGCGCAAGCCAAAATCAACACTTTCCTGACCGGCGGACTTCAATTTCTCCGCTCGCTGTGCTGCTTGCTGCAAACAGACTCGGTACAAAGATTCAATAGTATTAGGGAAGATAGTTGTTGTTGAAGTGGGTCGTCTATTACTATAGATAAAACTATGCTAAATGAAATCGTCGGACTTTCTTCGTTGTGTGTACTAGTACTCGGTTGAGGGACTTGATTTAGGCTGGTGGAGGCAGGAGCGCGATCCGCGGTACAAGGTGCTGGCGCGGCCACTTGTGTTGGGCGAGGAGCCGGAGAAGCCGACGAAGAGCAGGCTGCTCGGGCTCTTGAACGAGGCTGTGGTGCAAGTGCAGTTGAGCGACACGCGCCGCCTTGACGGCAATCGTCCATGGACTTGGCAGCGGTAGGTCGGCGCGAAAGACGCGATCGTTCCGGACTCGCCAGACGTTGAACCCGACGCAGGCGCGGAGCACGGCCCCGAGGTAGCGGAACGCGGCTTGGTGAATGCTGAATGCCGTCTTGGGCGTCGAGTAGAGGAAGCCGTCGAGCGTAGTCGGCAAGGTCACGCCCAAAGGGACCGTGACTGCGTAAAGCGTGCTCCACACGTCCTTGATAAAGTCGCAGTCGACGAGGAAGTGGCAGATGTCTTTTGCTCGGGGCAGAAGAGGCATGCTTGGTCGGCCCTGTCGAGCCAGTGCAACTTGACCGCACGGAGCATAACTTGGTAGACGAAGTCGGCGTACTTGGCAAAGATGGCGTCGGGTAGTCGGAGCTCTGCTGTCGCGGCTACGGCAGCAGGCGTCTCGTAGGTGTCGTCGTCGACGCCCAGGTGGCGGGTCGGGAGTGTAAGCGCGTCCTTGGCGGCACGTCGGCGGCGGGCTTTGGCGGGCTTCGTCTCGGTCAACAGCGTTGTCACTTTGTGCAATCGAACCAGCCATGACGGCTTCAGAGTCGGGCTTGGCACTGGGCCACACGTGAAGGCGTCGCGAGTCGTTGCGAGCCAGCCGAGCCATTTGTCGTTCGGCGTCATGTGGGCCAAGGTCACAGCACTTGGCAGTCTCCGCTTGAATGAGGTGTTGAGCTCTTGTCGCGATTGACTATTAGGAGAAATAGCACAGTCGCATTCACATCACAAGGACTGTCTTGTGTCGGCGCCTAAACGCTTTGGTCGTCGATGCACGCGAACAAGAGCTCCAGGCAAGGCGATGCATGTAGCGGGGGCGTATTATTGGCCACCTTTTTCACCAATCACACGCCACTAAAAAAGCGAGCGAATATCAAACATGCTTTATGCTCATTAGGTAGCGTACGCCGAACGGCGCGCGTCCTGCCAGGGCCACGAACCACGAGAGTGCAATCGGTGATGAGCCATAGCCTCTTGCAACACAATGCGCTGGAGCCCGAGAGGGCTGCTTTCTCTGGCGTCGGCGACCGAGCCCATACTATTAATACGTGGCAGCCCCGGCCGTGCATCCGGATACTCGCGCCGGGCGACATTTTCGAGAACTCCATGCGGCAGGCAATCGGTCGCGCGTGGCGCCCGCTCGTCGTCGCCGGCCCACTGGCGTCGCTGGCCGTCGCGCACTGCGCGAGCAGCCGTAGCGACCTCTCGGACGTACGCCACGTCGATACATACAGCACAGGCTTACATGCGCTGGCGTAGACGTTGCCAGCGAGCGCGATCCCGGCCTTTCTGAAACAAGAGCTCGACGCCGTCCGTGCCGGTATGGGCGCTAATAATGCGCCCAAGGTTGCGATCAGCACCCTTCGCCACACGCACAAGCTGGCGTTCGCTGTGCCCCATGACGCCAAGGACAAGGTGCTTCATGCGTTTGTGACGCAGGTCCATGCCAACGATTCCACCGCAGCACTCGAAGTGCTGCCCTCGACCTCGTACGTCGCGCTCTTCTCGCGTCGCCATGTGGTATATGGCTGCATGTAGTGCACCGCCGTCGCTCGACTATGTCTTCACCGACGGCTCGGGCTCGGTGCAGGTCCGCGACGACCACTTCGTCCTCTTCAAGGACGAGCCGATGACCAAAGGCGATCTCGTCGCGTTTGCCGCCGCCTACTGCGCGTCGAGCGGGAACACTCGCTCGCAGAACGTCTCTCGGTCCAGAGCGCTCGAAGACGTGGCCAAGCTCGGGCTCATCGTTTATGATGGCGACGGCGTCTTGACGTGGGACTCGCTCGCGGGCTACGACGCGGTCAAGGCCGAGATCCAGGACACGGTCGTCCTCGCGCTGCAAAACCCGGCGCTGTACGATGCGATTGCTGAGCGCACGCGCTGCCGGTACGACGAGAGAGTACTATCAGTGACGCACTCAACGCGACGTGGCGTGTACTAGGTACGAAAGCAACCGGCCACGAGCCATCTTGCTCGAAGGACCGCCGGGTACGGGCAAGACGCTGAGCGCGCGCATCGTGGCTTCTGTACGTTTTCATTTGTGGACAAGTTGTCCTTTATTGTGTTTTGAAAATTGTAGCAAGCGGGTGTCCCGCTCGTTCACATTCCGATCGAGAGCCTTGTCTCCAAGTGGTACGGCGACAGCGAGAAGAAGATGGCCGCGATCTTTGACGCTGTCGACAAGCTCGACGGCGCGCTCATTTTCATTGACGAAGTCGACCATTCTTCTGTGACATGTCGGACATAGTGACCTGTAGATTGACGCGCTTGCGACCGCGCGCGGGTCGGGCAACATGCACGAAGCGACGCGCCGGATGCTCTCGGTGCTCCTCCAAAAGCTCGAGGGCTTCGAGTCGGCGAAAAAGGGTAGATCGACAACTTGTCCATTGACGAGACGACGACAGTATGATACTCTAGTCACGCTGATTGCGGCCACGAACCGCAAGCAAGACCTCGATGCAGCGCTGCTGAGTCGCTTCAACCTCTGCATTCGCTACGACCTCCCGGACGACGCTACCCGTGCCGCGGTCTTCCAGCGGTATTCCCACGTGCTGCCGCCCATTTCATCACTCTGTCGACTAGGTATGCCAAGCAGCTGTCGTCGACCGACCTCGAGACTCTGGCGCATCACACCAGTGGCAAGTCGTGCCGTGACATCAAAGAGGTCGTCCAATCCATCCGATATTACCTTGGACGACGGAGTGTCACCATGTACGTTTAGATCTGTGAGTACACGGAACGCAAGTGGGCATCGCACGTGCTTCGAAACGAGCAGTTGACGACGTCGACGCCAAATGTGGAGGCGTACTTGGCTGCGATCAAAGCCACGACGACGACGCCAGAAAGTGCATTCGTGGACATTTAACGTCCAATTTAGAACTGCTCCCCGAGTCGAATCGCATACTGTGCCGCCTCGTGCATCGGGTGGTGTTGGGGCACGGCTGCCTCGGACGGTGGCGCGATCGCAGCGATGCGCCAGAGCTTAATGTCGAGAACGTACTGAACTCGTTGCCACGAAAGCACGAGGTTGCCGTTGAGCACGGCCGAGGCCGGGTCGACGTAGTAGACGCCGTCGACGGTCCACTTGGCGCGACAGAAAAAATAGTGTGCACCCGCGTAGAGGAAGAAGGCGTCACGCGTGCTCGGCAAGACCGTCGGCGAGGCCTTGGAAGAGGCGCGGATAGCCGCATAACTGAGCACTTGGGTCGAGAGCACGAGCAAGATGAGACTCCAAAGTCGGCGCGCATCGCCCATCTGAATGACGGCGCTATTGCACACGACTTGCGCATCGACTTGGGCGAGGTGGCACTGGAGGCCAAACGAGACAGCGTGTTGGACCGGGTCCAGAAGCGTCAGCAGCGTCGCGCTACAGTAGACGAGCGCACGGTGCAGCGATGCATACTTGGGCGTCATGGCGCGCGTCCAGACCATGCCAACGTCATTCACGATGAGCGCGAGCCAGAGCACCTCGCTGGACGCAACAAGGATCGCGTACCACGGTCGCTCGTGCTCCGTGCTCGTAAACGCGATCACGGCGCCGCTTTGAACCAAGGTTAGCGTCGCTGTCGAGAGAAGGCAGAGCGCCGAGACGCTTCGCACAAACAGCATTGGTCGCCCGAGCCACACGATCGCGCCGACGCTCTGCAGCGAGAGGAGGTTGAGGCCCTCGACGTGCCCGCGGGCGTACACGAGGTAGAGAAGCACGAGCAGCGCCATCGCCAGCATGCCGCACGTGACGTACACAACACAGGCGCGCGCGTACGTGGAGATCGTCGTTGGCAAGATGCTGGCGTCGACGGCGCGCGTATGGTAGACTGTGTTTTCCGTCAGGAGCGTGAGGTTGCTGCTCTTCGTATCGCCGACGAACGTGACGACGTCCCGCAGCCCGAGGACCCAGTCGTAGGCGTACATCCAGCTAAAGTACGGTAGCACAGTCGGCTCGAAAATCGGCGCGGTCACGACGGTGACGGGCGCCAAACCAGTGCTTGGCTTTAAAAGCTGAGCGACCGAGACGTTGGAGAGCGCGAGGTCGGCTGCGACCGCAGCGGCGGCGGCGAGTATCCCATGGCTTGCGTTGCGCAAGTATGTGTCGGTAAAGGCGATCGCGCGCGCCAGGTAGGTGAGGCAGTCGGTCTGACCATTGGTGACGACGTCGCAGAGTCGTGGGACATCCAACTCGAGCGCGCGCGAGAGTAAGGCGGCCAAAACGAGGTACTCTGGTGCCTTGCTGACGGTGCTTGCATAGTTGATCGTCGTGCAGCTTGTCCGCGATGTGAACGCGACGCATCCGCTCGAGATCGAGTTGGGCGTAATGCTCGGGCAGAGAATGGACCCGCCGACGGTCGAGACATTTTGTGTGCGCCGCCATGAGCGCGGCACAACGATGACGTTGCCCGTGGCCGTCATGCCCAAGTACGCTGCCTGGGACGCCGGCGTCGTCGCCAAGGTCGTGCGGAGGAGCCGGAGGCTGTCGTGGAAGAGGGCGAGGAGTGCTCTCGGCGGCGCCACAAAAAACATGTCAACCGAGCCAAACGGCCCGAACCGATGCGTCACCGCGGTCAAACCGGCATCCAGCGGCGACAAGAGCGTGCCGTTGCGCGTGAGTAGAGCGGCCATCGACACGTTGCGAAAGGCGTACGAGGCGCTCGATCGCAGCAAGCTACATCCGGCCACGCCACTGTCGTTGCGTGCAATCGCGGCCAAGTCGTTTGCGAGCGCCCAGTACATCTTGTGCGACGTGGCAACATCCCACGCAAACGAGTGGTTGGTGGTCGCGATCGGAAACGAAAACCGCATGCCCAGCGCGTTCTCGACGACGTAGTCGTTGTAGATGCCGATAGTTTTGAAGGTTTGCCACTGCGTCGTATAGTGTACCAGCCCGTGGGTGCTCCAGTAGGCGGCTTCGTCGTCCAGCGACAAACGCGGCTCGTCCAGCGACGCGAGCCAGGACTGGCCGCGACGGGATCTATGGAGCTCGGCAGCAAAGCCAATCTCGAACGCTGCACCCCAGCAGTCGCGCCACGTGGGATGGAGGTTGCGCAGCACCGGCTCGAGGTACACGGCGCCGTTGGTCGTCATGTGGGCATAGCAGCGCGCTTGCCGGGCCGCCGAGTTGGCCATTTCCCACGAGCGGTTCAGGTCCAGAAAACAGTACTGCGTAAAGATCCACGGAAAGTCGCACGCGCTGGCGGCGGGCGCGCTGCGAAAGCCCGCAATGACCGCCGACATGGATCGCAGTGCCGTGTACTGCAGCGTCGCGCCCAGCGTGGCCGGCACCGAGAGGATCGCAGGTCCTTTCGAGGACGCGCGCGGGCTCTGGATCGCGCCAATGGATGGCAGTGTGAGCACCATCGACGTGGTATTCGTGGCGCTGGGCGACAGCTGTATTTCTCGTGTGATCCAGTTGGCTAAGAACACATGGGTCGACGTCATGTTGAAGGTGCCCCAGCACATGTCGTTGGCGAGGCTCACGCGCGTCAGATCCAGGTACAAGATACCGCTGACCACCGACGCACCAATGTACACGACACTCGCAGTCGCAAAGAGTTGATTCCACTTATGTGGCCACTGCCACCAGCGCCGTTGGTACAGCGCCGCATTGTTTGTCCGCTGCGGCGCGACGCCCGAGAGAAGCCCGACCGACGTGTCGACGCGCGTGCAGCTCCAGAGCCGGAGGTGGAACATTTCCAAAATATGCTCTTGGCGCGTGACACAAGGCAAGACGCCGCAGAGAACGCACGCCACGACATCGTACTCGTGCACAAGGTTCGTCTCCAAGCACGATGCAGCGAGCGCCGAGACGACGAGGTTCCTCGGCCCCGGGAAGACGGCGTCGTATGCCTCCAAAGCGCCCGCGACAAGCGCGCTGATGACACCGCCACCGATGCACATCGCGCCGAGCGTCAAGAACCGGCGGTTGTCGCCGATGGCGAGGGTGCCGCTGGTGCACGTGAGCATGAGGTCCATGCCGGTGCTCGTGCACGAGGGCTGGAAGCCCATTGTCGGCACGATGGGCGCGGCGACGTCCAGAATGACAAGTGTCAGCCACACGCACAGCGTCACCGTACTTCGGAGCGCCAAGGTGCCTGGCGCGCGGCCGCTGCTCGAGACGCAGAGCACGTCGGTCACCACGTACGTGAGCCACGTCGCTTCGCCAGCGAGCACGCACACATGCAGGAGCGGCCGCGGCTGCCACTGCAAGAACGTATGGCCGTCCACGAGCTCCAGCGGGAACGGCGCCGTCGACAAGAGCAGCAGCGCTGTGCCGCCGCGAAGGACCGTGAGTGGGCGGCCGACCCACGTCGCCGCCGTGAGCCGGTTGAAGAAATAGAGATTCCGGCCCTCAATGCGCCAATGCGCGCTCTGTGCGGCAAACCCGGCGCAGAGAAGCGCAACTAAGAGGGCGATGCCGCTGGCGTAGACTGCGAGGTACCAGACCATGCGGTTGCCAATGTGGATGCTGCCGAGGTCGGCGGCGGCCGCTGCCGGCACCAAGAGGCGCGGGCTCTCACTCGAGAGAAGGACGCGCGTCGCAGCGTCGCCATCCAAGGCCACGACCTCGCGCACGCCGAGGACCCAGTCGAAGAGCAAGAGCCAGCTGGAAAATCGCCAGGCCATCGGCGCAGAGAGCGACACGTTCAACGGCGCAGAGAGGAGATGCCAGTCATCCTGAGCGTCGGTCGCAAACTGGAGAAACCCGACAGTCAAGGGCATCACTTCCGTCATCGCCGACACGACGTCGTCACGCATCGGCGAGAGTAGCGCAGGAACCACATGCGCTGCTGCATCGAGAAGCGTCGCGCAACCGGCGTTGCCAGCACAGAACGATGCAGCGTCAGGCACCGATCCGTTCACGACCAGTAGCGTGTACAGAAGAGGGAGCGGCGCCAGTGTCAGCGTCAGCAACGAAGCGCTGCCGTCGCAAGCGTCTTCAAAGCTGAGCGATGCCTGCGGATGGGCTGACGGGCTATTGTAGAGGCAGAGGGGGTTGCCGCCGTAGTACGTGTACGACGCGTCCCAGGACGGGACATGCAGCGCGATGGATGTGGCCGCGAGATTCTCAAAGGCGGCAGCGCTGGTCGATGTACCGAAATGCGCTCGCAACGATGCAGCGAGCGTCGTATGCAGCGCGAGAAGCGACGGCGGCACGGGCAGCAGCCACGGATCGATCGAGAGAAACGGTCCAATGCCATGGTGCACGAGGCCAGTCTGGTTGATGAACGACGAGCCATTGTTTTGAACACCAAGAAAGTCTTCAAACGCATTAGTGCGTCGAAAATCGTTGATCGCACCCCGCACGAGACTCATGTTGAGCCCTTGGACCGTCGACCAGTCATTCGCGGGCAGCCAGTACAAGATGACACTGGTCCATGGACCGCGGGTTGATGGCGACGTCTTGAGACTCACGGCCTCGGTCATGCCAAGTGCATTCTCGATCGCAAGGCTCTCAACCACACCCGTGCTATATTGGTTGTGCCATAGATGCCGGTACTCGTCGAGGCCGTGTGCGCGCCATTGGGCAATCTCGTCCTCGACGCTGCCGTGACGCAACGTCGTCATTTTGTCGAGCCAGGCACGGCCGGCGGTCGTGGCCACCAGTGCCGTTTGGATGGCCACGGTGAACTCATTGCCGACGCCTCCGTACGCGGCAAGGAAGGCCGTGACGTTGACGTTCCGAAGCACCGACTCGTAGTAGACAGCGCCATTCGATGCGTACTTGGCGACGCAACGGGCTTGCCGCGCATGCGTGTGCGCGACCTCCCACGTTTTGAGCCAGTCCACCCAGCATTGCTGGGTGCGCACGCCTTTGGCGTAGGCGATGTGCATGGCGCGCAGCATCGGAATGGCCTCTTTTAGCGGTATGAGCTCCGTCTGCGCGATGCGCCTTGCGTACGTGGCGTAGTAAGCCGTCATCGGCGGTGTCAACGATCCATAGTATGTGGTCGGCATCGCATAACTCGAGAGCGGACTCGAGACGGGCGCCGCCATGGAGGCTGTTGTCAGCGCCGCGTTCGCTGCGTCAATGAGGTAGGCCTGGTACCCGGATTGGTTAAAGCCGGGCCAGAACAGCACGTTGGTCAGCGACGGCGCGAGGAGTTGGAGGTAGTAGGCAGCAGTCAGGAGCGAGAAAACGACGTAGGCAAAGCCCGCGACAACGTGGTACCGGCGCGTCACATGGACGTACTGACGCGAGAGGTGCGGCCCCGCCAGAGACGCCGCAAACGGCTTGACCGCGTTCTTCGCACGCCGCCAAGCCACCATCGAGCGACCCGTTTCGTTGGTTGTGCCAACATGCTGGTGTCGACAGTTACGGAAAAGGGCAGCACGACGTAACGCAGCTCAACCGACACGTTTCGAGACGTGGGTTGGGATGCATCGGTGTCTTGTCTAGTGTAGTACTTTGGTAGGCTACTGATGTCCATTAAATTGAGTGCGTCGGCGAATCGCAGACGCATAGATTTCTCTCATGCGAGCTATTACTACCCGAGAGTGCACATTAAGCATGACAAGCACCCTTCCACTGGTTCCACAGTCAAAGGCAAACGCTCGTTCGAGCTACGAGGGGCTTCATTAGCCGCCGGTTTTTAGTGTCGATAAACTGTTTCCAGCCCCTCGCTGCTTGCGGCCAAGGAGTTTTGCAGCAATCGAGCAGCAAAGCATGCTGCTCATCTACCTGCGGGTCCACGCTGTCGCTTCCACGACACTAGCCGCGGCCGAGATCCTGGCCGATATACACTTTTTGAACGGATATAGTGTTGCGTAGTAACGCCCCACCGAGTGATATAGTGTCCGACCTACAGTATATCAATGTTCATATTTTAGTGTTACACAAAAATAGTGTGAAATGGCGCATTTTAAAATGCGCGACCTGCTTGCTGGCTGCCTCTTGCATGGCTTCTACGGTGCCGGAACTTCAAGCCGCCCTGTCCAGTGTTTACATATCGGCGGCGCCGTTGAGTGTTCTCTGGGAAAGGGCCCGCTGGCCTATCAGAAGCGGTCTCGCAACGACCACGTGGCTGCAAATGGCTGGTCCACATCCTTTTTTCGAAGCCGAACCAGCTCGCACAGTCGTTTTTCTCCCTCCTTCTTTGCCGCTCGGCGTTGCAATTTAAAAAATACACGCCCCCGCCGACGATCTCTGTTTATTTGGCTCGGGTTTCGAAACGGTGGCTCGAAATTTAATTGCGTTGCGCACGCCACGCATATACTTGCGGTTTGTATAGCATCACGTATTTCTTTGGCGTGTCCCAACTTTTTATTCGGTCGCGTTACACATGCACTTGCATTTTGTATGTAGAGGTCTTGTGACGAGAAAAAATGGATTGGTGTCGCAATAAAATACAACCGGGGAGGTGCACTTGGTCATTTGAAATTTCAAACAGGCGTCCCCGGCTGCCATTTATTGGGGCTCTGATTGGTGGAAATATCGTGAAAAGATCGAGCGGACGCGACGTGATTGGTGGAAATACCCTTCCAGCATATAGCGGATTCATTTTTCGATTTCCACCGACTACAACAAGCAACCATGGCCCGTACGAAGCAGACCGCGCGCAAGTCCACGGGCGGCAAGGCGCCCCGCAAGCAGCTGGCCACGAAGGCCGCCCGCAAGTCCATGCCCGCCACCGGCGGCGTGAAGAAGCCCCACCGCTACCGCCCGGGTACGGTCGCGCTCCGCGAGATCCGCCGGTACCAGAAGTCGACGGACCTCCTGATCCGCAAGCTGCCGTTCCAGCGCCTCGTCCGTGAGATCGCCCAGGACTACAAGACGGATCTGCGTTTCCAGACGACGGCCATCCTGGCGCTGCAGGAAGCCGCCGAGGCCTACCTTGTCTCGCTCTTTGAGGATACCAACTTGTGCGCGATCCACGCCAAGCGCGTGACCATCATGCCCAAGGACATCCACTTGGCCCGCCGTATCCGCGGTGAACGCACGTAAACGGCGCGTATGTGTGTCTCTCTTTTTACCCCCAATTGTGATGTGCATGCGACGCACCGCCTGTATCGTCTTCCGAGCGCCGCAGTGCATTGTGGCCGGGGATTATATATTTTAAAAGCAACGAGATAAAGAATCGTCTTGATGAATCCACGACCTGGCGCGGAACAGCGGTGGACCGGCGACGACAAGGCGCCAAGCACTGCATACGAGGTCTCTGGCTCGGAGATGGAGTTTGCAGCATAATGATCCAGCCTTGTATTAGCTACATAAGGTACCCTCTCTACAACCTGCCCACTGGCGCAAGCCCACGCCAGCGGCAAGCGAAGGAGCTCTCCGATGCGTCCTCGGACCTCATACATGGTGTGGGTAAGCTGGAATTGAGCACAGTGAGAGCCAGGGCGACGGTCCCACAGCCTAGAGAGGGACAAGGTCCAAGGTTGAAGTTGCCCTTGGGCGGGCGGACCGTTGGTTTCATGCGGTTTCGAGGCCGTGGCAATACTCCATCTTCCTCGCAACATGCTCTCGAAGCGCCTGTCGCTCAACATCCTCTCGCCCAAGGCGGCGCTTGGCGCTGCGCCATTGAGCCCGAAAGCCACGTCGCCCCGAGGTACGTACGTACATATCCTCGTCTGAGGACCATGCCAGCATGGCTCGTAGGCAAAGACCGCCTGCGCCTGACCAAGACCCCATTGCCCAGCGACGAGAACCAGCGGAGCCCGCCAGTGACGCCGGATGCTACCGACGACGTCATCCACGAGATTCAAGCAACGCTCACGAGCCTGCTCCAGCGCATGGACACGATCAAGCCGGCCAAGCTGCGCTCCATCAAGCTCGGCGGTGCGTACCTTCTTCTGAACCATGCTATGCAATGCGGTGCAGGCGAGCTCCGAGGCCTCCTCGGCAAGGCCGACGACGAGTTTGGCGCCCACGAAGGCACGTTTCGAAAGCACGTGCACAACGACGGACTGCAGATCCAGCTGCAGAACTTTGTCGCGAGCCTCCACGGCCTCTCGCCCGTCCTCGACTCGTACGACTATCTCTCTTTGCAGCAGAGTCCGATGCGCAACTGATGGAGACTATTGTCTAGGATCCAAAAGACAACTTTTCTTGTCAACGCGTTCGTCAAGCGCAACGTCGAATTCGCTTTTCAAGAAATCTCGTCCTACTACGCGTCGATCGTACGCCTCACCATCCGATATATGCTAGCACCGCGACGATGTGTCTAGTTTACCGAACTCTCGCTCGCAGTGGCCCACGCGTCGGGCTCGGCGGCCGAAGCCGCGGTCCTGGCTGCTTTGCGCGCCAAGCCCACCGAGCCGCCGACGTCCGACGACGCGACAGCACCGGGTGCGGCAGAGAGCCCATGCGTGGTCTCACCTGCAGCCAGAGGTGCAGTACCAAACAGGGCAGCAGTTCTACTTTGGTCATGGCCGCGCCACCAACCACCACCAAGCGTTCGTCCACTACAAGGTGCCACGAGTCTGCAGCAACTGGTCCTGCATGCCTTTGTAGCTCGCAGCAGCCCAAGGGCACATGGAAGCCATGGTGTGTCTGGCCCAAATGTACCGCGATGGTCGTGTTGTGGAGAGCGACCACGAAGCCGCGACGCAGTGGTGCACCCGCGCCGCCAGTCTCGGGTCCGTCGAAGCCACGTTTGCGCTGGGCGACCTCCTCGTATGTGCAGGGCGCTCTCTACAAGCGCACAAGAGTGGGCTTAGGTGCAAAAGGCGCGTCTTCTTACCCACGTGGCGCGACGCCAAGAGACGTATGCACTGGCGATGGTGCGACTCACGCAAGCTGCCGACCAAGGCCATCGAGACGCACAGTACGCTGCCGGTGCCACATGCCACGTCTCAAGTCGCTCGCTTCACCGTCAATCTAGGACACTTGTACGAAATCGGTGCGGTCGGCGCAGTTCAGTGGCAGTTGGCTAAAGAGGCGTACCTCAAAGCAAGTGACCAAGGCCACAGTAAGGCACAGGAAGCCTTGGGGCGTCTCTACTACTATGGACATGGTGTCGAGATGGACAAGACCCAAGCCGGCCACTACTTTCAGCTGGCGACGCAGGTGATCGATATGCCAGAACGCTTACTCTCAACTGGCTGCATTAGAGCGATCCGAGCTTGCCAGACGCGTGGTATTTGCTGGGTTTGATGTATGCCAATGGCGACGAAGTGCCTGCGGACCAGCCCCGTGCAAAGCGCTGCTTTATCAAAGTGCACACCTCTTCTCTACGACAAGCGTCGTGCCACATAGGCTGTGATGTAGGCAGCCATGCTCCAGCACATTGACGCGCCGATCGAACTTGCTGCCATGCTGCTGACCAGTGAGAAGGCGCCGGTTTCCGATGAGGTGGCGACCGAGGCACTCAAGTGGCTCGTCTTTGTCGAGCCGCCGACAGCGAGGGCCCAATACCTCCTTGGCACACTCTTTGAGCACAACGCCTTTCTAAACGTACCCTCAGCACTGCGCTATTACACGGCGGCTGCCCGAGCGGTGCGTTCAAGAGCCAATATGTACCGACCGTCCTGTATACGAGACGTAGGGCCACGGCGTGGCGGCGCAGCGTGCAGCGCAGCTCTACTACAGCGGTCAGAAGGGCGCCGACGTGCGTAGTGAGAAGCGGCTCGCATTCGAAATGTACTTGATCGCAGCGCGAACCAGTCACGACGCCGAGTCAATGAACGCGCTGGGCCTCATGTACGAAGACGGCGAAGGCGTTGCTGTCGACATGACGATGGCGGCTGACTGTTTTCGCCAAGCGGCCGACCGGCAGAGCGCCCACGGCCACTTTAACTATGCCTGTCTCCTCCGCGCCGGCCGCGGTGTCGAGAAGGATGTGGATGCGGCCAAGCACCACTTTGAACAGGTGAGGCAACGCTTTGTATCAAGTTGATACAAACATGTGGTAGGCGCTCGCGCTCGGCTACGCCCAGGCCAGGCAATTTCTCTCAACAACGAAATAGCTACAATACCCACTTGGTTGAGGGATGCAGTAACAGGGCGGGCCGAAGCCATGACGCATCGCAAATCCATTCTCACGCCCAGGAGAATGCTCGCCCAGAGCTGTCGTGACAACTTAAAAGAGAACGGGCTTGAGCGTTTGCACACTACACTCATCCTACGACACGGCCCATCGCAATCTCATCAAGAGCACCGTTGTTCGCAGACGTGCATCAAATTGGTTTACCGACCACTCGGCGGGCAACCCCGCTGCCACGTAATCAAACTACGGATGCGTTGCTATTGGAATGGACGACCACAGGCCGTCGTGAGTAGCCTACGAGGACACGAGGTCGGCGAGGTCGATCGTGTCGAGGAACCCACGCAAGTCGGCGCGGGATATTCGCGGGCTCGACACCTCATTCTCGTCCCATGGGGTTCGCAGGTCGCCGTCCTTAGGTCGCGCGTCGGTGGATAAGGCCATGATGCGGTGGCGCCAGCAGTAGCCGCCGCGCGTGCGTCGAGCAGCCTCCGATGCGGCACTGACGGCCGCGCACGTACTTGTGGTGCAAGTGAGGGACGTGGTCACAGCCAACATGCGTGCACATCTCGATTTCGCATGCTGCGCGCAGTGCTGGGCGATGCGGTGGCAGCCGTCGGCCGCACAGATGCGCTTGCCACCGTGTCGTACGCAGAGATGGCGCGCGTAGACCTGGTTGTAGCACTTGGCACTGGCGTCGGTGCTTGTGAAAGTCGCACTTCATCGTCGTCGTCATCGTTGGATTGCCGCAGCCGTTGAAGATGCACGTCATATTCGAGATTGGCGTCTCGAAGCCCATGCCCTTCTACTGCGAGGGACTACGACAAGATGCTCGTCGGCGGGTTGTAGCTGGATTTCATCGACTTGGGACACAAAATCAACAACGAGACATGAAGGGAGAGATTCATCTAGTACACATGCCTTCGCATCGCCGAGCGTCCACGTGCGACGAGACGGCGCTCGAGGACCGCGTCTGCGTACAGTCGACACCAGCGTACAATGGCCCGAGGTGTGGTTGCTGCTGCAGACCGACGGCAGCGCTGCAACAGAGGATTGAGACTAATCATCGCTCGCTCTTGTAGTCGTGCTATGTTCTCTGGGTTGTAAGTGTCCTCTTATGTGGATTTAGTACCTTGCTACACCTCCTACAGATGCTGCGTGCGCGCTCAAGCTCGTGTGCGTCTTTGTGTTTGGTAACCTTAATCGATGCCACCTTCACTTCCATCCAACGGTGTAGTCGAACTCTAGTTTTTCTTACTTCTGACCTTGCGCAGGCGGGGTCTCGATACGCTTGACACCGAGCGTATCCAGTGCGGCAACGCGGTCCGGCTGCGTTTGCCGGCGCACGTAC